AAAGAATAGAATTAAGTTTAAAGATGTATATATATATATATATATATTTACTGTTATGACCTTTAAGCTGGTATTTAAATAAAGAAAATGAAGTAATCCTCAGCAATGAGAATGATGATGCCAAGGCAAACTTTCTATTACAAGAAAGCCTTTTTATTGAAGAAAAATCCACATTAGATGAAAATATTAATAAACATGGAAGTCATTTTGGTCAAGAAAACGTAACTGGTGTAAAGGCTTCTGGTCATAGTGAATGAACAGCCACATCTTTGGAAGAATGTAACACAAATTACCCTAGTCCAACAATTATATATATATATGGAAGTATCTGAAAAAACTATTGAAAAACATCAAGCTGAAAACAAAATTAAAACTTTAAAAGCAGAAATATTATCAGAATCAGCATCTGACAAAACAGAAAAAAACGTATGTTAATAGGGAGGGTAAGAAACAGTGTGAAGAAGTGGTGTATTTAAGTGTTTTACACTCACAAAAAGAAACCTATCATTCTATAGGTATTTTCAATACCTCACTATTATAAATGCTTGGTTTGGTCTCATATTTTATTGGCGGTAGTGTCCAGGGGCACTGATGAGGAGGGGAATTCTCCGAAACTAGTCTGGCTCACAGACACACCACCCAATGAAAGAATGGACCATTCCAAGCTTATTTTGTTGTTAAACAAATGTTTAAACAACTCTAATTATTCAAGTATGAAGAAGTTTTGACTGTATTACTCACATGCAAAAACTCAATTTTCTCTCTAAATCCTGCTGCTATTCCTCTCAGTTTTCTCCTTTTCCATCACTTCTACCCCCATTAAAAACAGCCTGCTAGTTAGCTATTAGTTTAGCATAAGCACTCTTAATGTCATTCATTGTATTTCTTATACTTCTAGCATTACAATAATAAGTTTAGCCTACCCTTAAAACTACCTTTGTACCTTATTTCTACACTAAACCCCCTCTCTAAATCATAATTTTTATTTTTTATTTTGACCCTCTCCTCTGTTTAGTTCCAGTTTACAGTTGATCTTAATGTTGAGATAACGGCCCTTGCAAACAAGCCAGCTCATACCCCATTTAAATGTAGATCATCCTTTCCAAAAAGCTCCCTTTTCCTATTGAACTGATCCAACCAGCCAAACTGTTCTTTCTTACATATTAATTAAAGCCTAGTATTCAACCATAGTGACCTACTTATAATTTCATTTTCACACTTAAGTCATTGGCAATATCCCTGACAGAATTAAGTTATTATTGCCCTTTTCTTTGAATGTTTTTATTAATGCCTTATACATAACAATTAGCTTCTCTGACCTACCCTTTTCTACATCATTAGCCTCTGTGTGCTCTACAGACACTGTATCATTACTAGTATCATTTACTATATCACTTCGTCTGTTAGTTATATCCTTCACCACTGCCCCTGGATAGCAAAATATGTATCTTTTTCTCCCTATTTACCATACAGGCTATCTTATCCATGTGCTGTACAAAAGAATTTCCTATAACAGTAACATCTTTATGTTTTTCATTCCCATCCCTCTCTGTTCCTTACCACTCTGATCTTTATAATTAAATCTATCACCACTAACCCTATTATTACTGCTTCCAACCTCCCAAGAATCATCACCAGCCCCTGTATTTTTCGCATGAAAAAACTCAATTTCCTCCCTATATCCTGCTGCCTCTCCTCTCAGTTTTCTCTTCTCTTTTTCCATCACTTCTACCCCATTAAAAACAGCTTCCAATTGTACAAGTTTACTGCTAACTTGTTAAATGTACATGTTAACCCTGGATTCCCAAATAAAACTCACTCCTTGCACTTATTGCACTTAACACTTACATTACTCTTAACCACCATAGCCTGAGAATAATCAACTCTAAATACAAGTAGCCTGTTAATGACACTGTTAAACCTAATGTTAGGGTTAAGCATGTTATACTATTTTCTCAACTTAAAATAAGACCCAAAACTCGAGCGCTTTCGAATAGTTGACTATTATTATTATTCTTCTCCTTTTGTTCTCCTGAAGAAGAATAGTCAACTATTCGAAAGCACTCGAGTTTTGGGTCTTATTTTAAGTCTATTACACTTTATATGTGATTCTTTGTGCTAACTCTTTTATAAAAAGAAAATACTATTTTCTCACTACCTTATCTTATTATTAAATTAATTTTGTCATTAAAATGAGAAGTAACAATAACAAAATAAACTTTTGATAGTTATAACTTTATCTTATGAAGTTCCAAAATCCTTTAGATAATTAATAAGAATAAAAATAGAAAGTATATTCAGATAAAATTGTGTTATTGTGTTAACAAGTAACAATGTTTAACTTTTCCACATTACTTTAGTAATGCTTCATTTTTACAAAGGTGTGATATCAGTTAACTTTCAGAAAGTTAACTGCATAACAGTATAACCAACATTTTCAATATGTTTTACATAAAAGAGACTTCCATTATAATAACATCGGATGTTGGATTAATCAGTGTTTTACCTATAGTCTTAAACTAACTTAAATATATCATGGTTAACATAATGTTAATTTATTTTGTAAATGATAAACTTAATCATGTTATAATCTATCAGTACAAAGCTTACACCATTAATTCTAGTAATATGAATGACATGAAAATAAAAACAGTTAATAGCAAATGTTTCAAATTCTGTAACAAGTATGGTATAAGAACTGCAGGTGTCCTGAACAGTACTAACTATGGTTAAACAAATCTTTAAGGTCTAGATATATTGTTAGAGTGTCTGGGAAAATGCAGGGCATGAACATTTACTATGGTAACTCTTAACTGACTCATATTATTGTATTAACATAGAAATAATCAGTTATTGGCTTGAGACATTAACTGTATTACTGTAAACTCCAGCTGTTGATTTAAGAAAAGAGCTTTTATAAGCTTTTTTTTTTTAAGGATATCTGGCCATTTTACTGTTTTTCAAAAAAATGAAGTGTTTAGAACTCACCGTCCTAGATTTGCATCTGTTTAAAGAACATAGTTGTGCAGCTATAAAGTGGAAATATAACACAATGTAAATAATGGTAAATTTAAATTCATTTAACACTTAAATAGCCAGAGAGTTGGTGGTGAGTACTGCCATCTGGTTATCTTCTTTCTGGTAAGGTTCAAAATTAGTGACAGTAGCAGATAATATTAATAGTTTTACAATAACAAAGACAGGTTGAGCAAGTTTAGTGACAATAGAAACTGGACCTGAGATCCTCTAATCATGAGACATCCCCTCCCCGTCTTTATGTAACTTTTTGCTTAGCAACAAATAAACATAATGACAATATTTCAATCATTTGGCTAGTTGGAGTAATAAAAAAACATAATAATAATTGGAAACCTTAATTTTGATTAGTTGAATATTTTCACCACAGTATTTGTAATTTCAGTTAATTGATTACTTTGTGAGACACAAATTGATGTAATCACTGCTCGTAGGTAATCGATTAAATCGCCCAGCTGTAATTCAAAGTAAGTCCAAGGTTGATGTGCCATAACCCAGAAAGCATAAATCTCCTTGACATATAGAAGGAATAAGTATACAACTGTATTTATCTTTTATTTCATTACAATGAGGTACTTCTGATCTATTTAGAGTTGTTAACCATTTTTATTTTCTTGGAATTATTTCAGTTTTTAGCCCCAGATTATGATCTTAACCTTTAAATTTAGATTTATGGGTTTTGATATTTTGGTATAACACAATCTGTTAAATTTGTTATGGAGTGAAAGGAAACAAAAACATAATTGAAATCATGGTAATTTAAGTATTTCTACCTTTACAGCTGTACGCAATTAAGATTGAAAACTTTCATTGTGCTAAATAAAAAGATCAGCCAATCAGAAATCATATTAATAGTTAGCCCATTCAGAAGTTTGGACAGCCATATTAGTTTCATTGGAAATGCATCAAAACATAATACATTTATCCAAGACTTAATATCCAAAGAAAAGTACAGAAGAAGCCACCCTAACAATAAGAACATTAAAAATAAATAGAAAAAAGTAAACTAAATGTGAAAAGAAAAAAAAAAACATCAGCCATAAAAATAACAAGTGGAGTCCCAATACAGGACTTTTGCCATGTGTTAAAGTAAGTTAGAGGGGTAACAACAGCCATAACTGTTACATCATCAAGATTCAACCATAACACCAAAATACCACAAAAGTCAAGAAAAAACTTGAAAAGAACAGATGTAAAATAAGTTTAATAGCTAAGTGATATCCATAAAGCAAAGGAAATGTGAAAATACCAAAAAAACATTAGCCATAACGATAGCAAATGGAGGCCTGATACTGAACTCTTGCCAAAAATTTAAGTCTGAATATATTGCCAACTAGATGTGTATTAAATCATCAAGTGTAAGTAAAATACATGCATTTTCTGTACTTTACTCTGTAGATTTCAGCATCACTCATGATGGGAAAGCAACTGACAAAATTATAATATTTCTATTTTTCTGCTCAGTCTCCATTTTGTTTTGTTTTTATTTTGTAAGGCTGGCATCCATATTTTTAGTCAATTAGGGTTGGCATCTCTGTTTATTCCATTCAGTGTGTTTTTCTAAAATTACACACAAAATTCTTTGTTGTGCAATGCGTGTTAAAGACACTTGTAACAGTATAACTGTTACTCCATATAATTATGTAAACGTTTCACCCTTGTTTTCATTTCTAATATAAAATGTTTAAGGTAACTGATATTTTTTATTTTAGTATGTCCAGGACTCTTATCATTTGTTAATAGCACCCTATGTGAGATATCAATTAAACACCCCCTTCTCGGTAAAATTTTATCTATCCTTGCCTTCAAAGATACAAACTTGTGGTCCCTATGATTCAGCGATCTATGTGAGTGCAATGCTTGCACTACCCTTGACCACAGCTCTGAGTATGCCTTTTGACTAGATTTTACAGCAGCATGTTTGCTATTTGTAATTTTTAATGAAATTGTTTTTCATTTTTCAGAGGCCCAATGGAGTTGGGTACAGGGGAAAAGTTTATCCCTGGTGGTGGATTTAAGGAGGTTGAAGCCACAGAAAGAGAAATAACCACGAGTGAATCAGAAAGTGCTGAAAGTGTAGATGACAGTTACACAGAAAAGACAGATCAAGAGGAAAATGAATCTATACAAGAGAGCAAGGCTATATTAGATAGCATAGAATTTGACATGGAGAATGGAGAAACAAATTTTGTAACTTCTAGCAGTCCTGATGTTAGCAATACTGAGTTTCAGGAACAAGGTGATTTTGTAGAGCTCAAAGGAAACCAGTTAGAATGTGACACTAATATTGGTTTATTAGGTATTATTGAAGAACCACAACATACTGTGCTAAATCAAGCTGCAAACACAACTTCCGTAGAGGCCACAGAACCTTCAGCATTAATTACAACATTTTTTAGTTACATGGACATCGATTTACCACCTTTACCATCAGAAATTCCTCTACCACCAGAAACACTAAGAAAGGAAAATGAAGAGTCTAATTGTTACCAAAATTCCTTTTTACCTTCAACACAACCTGAACATCCACCAGCAGAACCACCACAGAGCAAGCCTTTGTTACTTCATCAGTTGATGTCTGTTCCACCTCCCCCACTTCCATTTTTGCCTCCTTCTGGAAATTCCCATCAACCTTTGTCTTCACAATGTCTTGGTACAAAAGTACCTGCTGCTTCTTTTTCTGTGAAAACATCAGTACAGTCTTTACTCAGATTGGAAGACATAAGGAATGCCCCTCCTCCTCCCCCTCCTCCTCCAACTAAAGAACAGATCTTCACAACAAGTCAGAACCAAATAAATGATTTCATTTTAAAGTTTGAAGAACAAAATATAACAGGAGAGAAAGCTAAAACTAAAGAAGAGAATAAAAAAGAAGCAACAGTATCTCCAATAACTAAAACAAAAGCAGTACTTGGGAAAGCTTTAGCTAAAAAACGATTAATGGCATTTACTAAAACAATGTACCCTGGAGGAAAGAAACCAGTTTTACATGACATTTTAAAGCCTTCGGTGGTAAAACCCAAAACATCACTAGATACAGCCTTTGCTGAGGATGAAGAGATTGTTGAGAAGACTGAAGGTGAAATTGAGGCATTTGAAGAACCAGCTGAAACATCTATACCTGACAAAAAGTATATTGAAGAAGAAATACCAGAAGAAAACAAAGTATTCTATCATAAACAACCTCCTGAAAATTGTGTGATCAAACCAAATTTTGACTTTGTTGTGTTTGTAAAGAGCAATGTTTTAAGAGACTTATCAAACACTAGTGTTGGTGATAAAAAAAATGAAATTCTTTTGAAAGCAAAGGATTTAAAAGCAATTACAAACATTGATCTGAACAAACTAGAAGGAAAAAATCTCAAGGACCACAAACATGACAAAGAAGAAAAATATTTTGAAAAAAAAAGTAACAGTGATGAAAAATATTGTAATCCGACTGAAAATTCAAGGAAACATCCACAAGAAAATAGTCCTGATCGTGATGAAAGACATAGGGAAGAAAGTCCATGGAACAGAAGAAGATTAGAAGAAACAAACAGGAAGAGAAATAGAAGAGTCAAAGCATCAAGGAGCAGATCTAGAGACAGAGAATATAAAAGGGAGAAAAGAAGCAGAGAGTCAAGGAGCAAGTCACATGAAAGGGGTTATCAAAGATATAAAAGTACTCACAATTCTCGAAGTAGATCAAAAGATTATAAGGACAAAAGATATAGAATTAGCAGGAGTATATCAGTGGAAAGGACATCTAAGAAAAGAAGAAGTGTGGAAAAGTCAAGAAGTAAGTCCAAAGAAAAAGATGATAGAAAAAACAAAAAAGCCAGGGAAGCTAGAAGTAAGTCAAAAGAAAAAGAGAAGAAAAAATATAAACATATTTTAGAATCTGTGAGTAAATATAATAAAGTAAGTTCCAAAGAAGAACAGTTTTTTGAGAAAAGTGCAAATTTTCAAAGATCTACAAATCCAGGAAAGTTAACAGACAAGCACACACTAGTTTCAAAGCAAAATAGTTTGGAGGATTTTACATTACCAGATTTATGCAAACTAGGAAAGAGCCATTTAAGTCAGGAAATGGAAACTTGTTTGGCATATAATAAGAAAACACAAGATAATAGAGAAATATATTCTTCTTTGGATCAGATCCCTGTCCATATTCAACAAGAAATCTATAAAGAAAAAGAAATTACTAAACAAACTGAAGTGAAAGAAAATGAAATAATCCTCAGCAATGAGAATGATGATGCCAAGACAGACTCTCTATTACAAAAAAGCCTTGTTATTGAAGAAGAATCCACATTAGATGAAAATATTAATAAATATGGAAGTCATTTTAGTAAAGAAAATGTAACTGGTGTAAAGGCTTCTGGTCATAGTGAATTAACAGTCACATCTTTGGAAGAATGTAACACAAACTACCCTAGTCCAACAATTACATATATGGAAATATCTGAAAAAACTCTCAAAAATCATCAAGCTGAAATTGAAATTAAAACTTCAAAAGCAGAAATATTATCAGAATCAGTATCTGACAAAACAAAAGAAAAAAAGTATGTTAATAAGGATGGTAAGAAACAGTATGAAGAAGTTTTGACTGAGGGAAAGAATTATGTAGAAGTAGAAAAAAGTAAAATTACTGATACACCATATGAAGACAGTGATTTAGATAAACAAAATGAAAAGTACAAACAAGAGCAATTGAATAGAGATGTGTTTGGAAAACCTAATGGAAAAAGTAGATCACCTGTCAAAAAAATTGACAAGTTGTCTGAGACACACGGTAAAGAAAAGTTGTGTTATAGACTTGGGTCATCAGAGAAACATCTGACTGGGTCTTTTGAGAGATTGAGAAGAGATGAATTATCTGTAAAGCAACCAAATGTGACTTCTGATAAGAAGAAAGGCAAGTCTTCTGAAAGAGAGAAACCGAACCTATCTCAGGCAGAGGATAGTAAAAGACATAAAATTCAGGTTAATAAAAAACAATCTAGTTTTTGTGAAAAGAATGAAAATAAACATGTTGAATATGTAAGGAAAAATAAGAAGGATAAGCAACATTTGATCAATGATTTAACAGAAATTGAAAATCAAGATGTATTCCAAGATCAGCTGTCTGTTTTAAGAGATTATGGTTCCCAAAGTGAGGAAACTTCTTTAGATGAAATTTATGAAGGAGAGAGATTTTCCAAGAAAGTTTCAAAACCAGAAGGCTTTAAATCAGAAAGAAAACGAAAATCCAAAAAGAAACATAATAAAAAAGATATATATCAGAGTAGTGAAGATAATGACAAGATTCACAAAAAACTAGAAAAGGATACTTATAAAGAAAAGAAAAAGAAACAAAAATCAGATAGTTCTGTTACAGAAGAAAAGTCATTGTTGAAGACCAGTAAATATATCTTGCATGATTTTCATTCATCAGAGGAAACTGAAGGAAATTCAAGAAAATCTAAAAGAAAACAAAAACTTAAAAATTGTTATTATGAAAGTGGATCAGAAAGCAATCAATTAGGTCATCAGAGTGGGGTAAAAATGAAAGAAAAGATGGAGAGTAAAATACAAAAACACAAAAGAAGTCCTAGTTGTAGCAGTGACATGTCAAGTGATGAAAATAATTTTAGACATTCAGCAATTAATATGGAAAAAATGTCCTTAAAAGAGCTTGAGTTAAAAGAGAAAGAAAGAGATAGTGAGTCAGAGAAAAATGAGTCCAAAAAAAAAATTATATCCACACCTTTTAAGGAATTAAAGAAGGGTAGGGATAAGAGTTCTGACACTTCTGGTGATGACCATAATAGAAAATATCCTGTTAGGTCCAAAAGCAAAAAGCATGTTGAGAAAAAAAATGAACCTTCAAAGAAAGGTCATAGCTCAAAATCAGAAAAAAGTTCAGAAAGGAAAGAAAATGAAAGTAAGTCAAAAAACAGAAGTATTATGTCAAAAAGATTTTCCTTAAAGGAAGACACATTTACTGTAGAACACCATTTTCAGGAAAAAGGTTCTACCACCAGTTCTACTTCAACCGATTCTTCAGATTCAAGTGTATCTTCAGGCTATCATTGTCAATCAAATAAAAAAGTCAAGAACAGGTTTCTGTCATATAAGAGAAATGACACTGAATGTTGTAATAAAAAAGAACAACAACTCATAGTGAATTCAAAGTCCACACAAAATTTAAAAAAAATATATTCAAAGTACCAAACAAAAGAAGAGATTGAGACTAAAACTGAAAATGATTCAGAAGGTGAAGAGTACAATAACCATAAAAGAAAGCAAAAAAGGAGAGAAAACTCTCTTGGATTTTCAGAAAATAACAAACAATTTAAAGATGAAGAATATATAAAAGAATACTCTGAAGCCATAAAATCGAAACATTGTACAGATCACACCAGAAAAGCTCAAGAGAGTGTTAGTCATAAACCTAGAAATCATTCAGTAGAATATCTTACAGTTTTATCAAAAGATGGAAACTCAGTGTTGAAATGGCCTTTTGATAATGTTCAGTATACAAAAGCAAAACCATCTGTATCTTACTGCTGTAGTCTTAAGTTTTGTAATGAAAAATTACCATCTAGAGATCCTAGTAAACTCACAGGTGTCATAAAATCCAAGGAAAAAAATTCAATTTCTAAAGAGTCGTGCATAATTCAAAATAAAACCTATGAGGAGAAATTATCTTTTGAAGCAGAAAATGACACAGCATTTGTAGGATTGAGCAGTAAGTCTTGGTCTGACTCTAGTGGTCCGGTAGTTGATGCCTCAGTAGAAATGACCCAGTTTAAATGTAAATGGGAAACAGATTCAGAAACAGATAAAGATAGTGACAAGCTGCTCCAGAATCAACCAGAGGCGTTAAAAGAAGTTGCTGAAACTTCAGAGACACAATTGAAAGATAATCTCTTGCTTGAAAGTGTGGAAGCTATAAAATCCATAAATTCTCCTCAGAAAGAAATTGTTTCAGGACAGAAAGAAGTTAAAGTATCCTTAGAAAATAATCAGTTCACAATAGCATGCACTGATGAAAAATATTGTGATAACCAGATGGAGGAAGAACAGTACAACATATGTGCTGAAGAAGAGAGAATATCTCTACCTAATGTAATTTCTTGTTCTGGACAAAAAAGTGAGTTTAGAGACACACACAAAGAATTGGGGAAAGAACAGACACTACCTATAGAAGATTTATCTGTAAACATAAAAATGGTAGTTGTTGAAAATTCTCCTTTAAAAAAACTCAAAGAGAAAGAGAACCTCAAGAATGATGAAGTAAAAATGGATAATCAGGATGATCTCACTGTAGAATATGCCAAGTTTTTGGAGCAGCTAAATATTGAAGGTCAAGATTCTAATTCTTTAGATGAGCAGTCCTCAAAAGGGAAGGAGTTTAGCATGAATAACATTGACTCTCTGATGGTCTGCAGAAGTCATATAGATTCTCATGTTGAAAATGATAAAACTGACCAGTCTAATCATTTTTCAGTAGGGTTTTCTTCAGACTCAGACACTGAACCTAAAACTGATGAAATTCTTCAGGATTTGAAAGAAAAACAGCATAAGACTCGTGTAAAAAGGAAAAAATTGTTATCTTTTCAATCTAAAGCTGATGAGCTCACAAAAGAAAAAATATGTGGCCACAAATCAAAAAGTAAAGAAGAAAAACAGAAAAAGCAAAGTGTTGGTCCATTAGATACAAAAAAAGAAAGCTATAGAAAATATTCAAAGAGTTCATCTGAATCAACTGAAAATTCAGATGAAAGCACTTCAGATTCTGGCTCTGAAGATATTGAGAAAGAAAATAAGCCTTCAAACAAATTTTCCACCTTTAAATTTTGTGGTGGGACAAATATTAGTAAAATGAGTATTAGCAGCAAATCTTCCTCGAGTGAAGATAACTGTGCAGAGGATGACAGTAATTTATTAGTCATAGATCAGAAGTCTTCTTCAATTACAGCTTCAACTAATCAGTATAAAGATTTATTTCCAGCCATTTCTCCTGTTAATATACTAACAGGCTGTGACCAGAATGATTGTATTGATATGGACATTTCAATAACTGACGAGGGATCCAGAGACACTGTAGAAAATGTTTACATTAAGGATCTAGCACCAAATAAAACACAAGAAAAGACTGATAGCAAACAGATTCCAGAAAAAGTTGAAAGTATGCTGTTCCCATATACTAACCTAAATCAAACTGCTCTTGAAGTAGCCAGTATAGATAGTAAAATAGAAGACCCAAAAGCTTGCATTTCTTCTCTTTCTTCAAAAAATAGCAGCATTTTAGGGCTCAAAAACATTAAACAAGCATGCAATTTACAAAGAAACACAGGGGGAAAGAATGATAATAAATTGATTGTTTCTTCCAAAATCCGTTGTGAAAAGTATGATAATACTAGTAACTGTGTAAGTGCAGGTGAACCTTATTTGAAAGACACTAAGGAAACATATATGTTGTTTGAAGAATCTGAAGCATGTAAGACTACAGAACTGACTAATTGGTGCAACAGTAAGCAGTTATTTGTTTGCAACGTTTCCACAAGTTCAGGGACAAGTAAAAGTAGTGCTTTGGCTGATGTAAGTTTGAGCTGTAGTGAAGTATTGCCTTCTGATGCAGAACACATGAGTGATGAAAAATGTTTGAATTCTAAAACAACGATATCAGTAGAGATACCAAAACCACCAGAAACTAAGTCATTTGAAGAAGAAACACTAGTGCATATGTCAAAACCTTCTAGTAAATATTTTGGTGAAGAAATAGCACCAGCATATACCCCTTTACCTTTAAGTACTTGTTTGACTGAAGATATTGTGCCGTTAGATATGTCACAACAATCAAATACTGCTTCAACCAAACAAGTTGTGGCAGTAGAAGAGGCAAGAGATACCAAATTACCAGAATTATGTCAAGCTGAGAAAGCTAGTTCTACTACTGGCACTGGGCAGAAAAGTAATAACTTAGAACTAAAAATAGGAAGCATTAAAAGTTATGAATTTACACGTGGAGCTCAAAATCTTGAAAGCTGTATAATGGAGAAAGAACCTGATGATGTGTCAGTGAAAATTAGTAAGGAACTACAAATTGAAAAGTTTTCAGAAAATGTCATTGGAATTAGAGATACCCAACAAATAGATAAATCAAAATGCAGAGACAATTTCAAGGCTGGTAGTTGTGAGAGAGCTGATACCTCTAACAGTAGCCATACATTTTCACAGAAAAATATTCACATATCTCCAAATAAGAAAGAAAAAATGCAGAGAGGTAATAATGAAAAATGCTCCTCAGTATATGTGAAAGGTGGTAGCATGTCTCATTCTAAAATTGAATCTGAAGGATCAGTACCTACTATTTCAGTTCCTGGGAAAAAACCTTCAAAGGCAGAACTTTCAGGACTACTTTTAGAACTTATGAAATCACCTATTTTTCAGCAACAACTTAGAACATCAGGTCTTCTGTTTCCTAGGAGTTCCACAAAAGATAAACGAAAACCTAATGAAAAGTTACCTGAAACAAGTAAACACACAATCAAGGTATCAGAGTCTGCTTCAGGATGCATAATTGGTAAAACTACAATTGAATCGAGTAAACAGACATTAAAACCTTCAGAACATGTTTCTTCTGGAGCTTTAAAGCATATTCAAGCAAAATCATTTGATTTAAAGAATATTCCAATACCTCAAAGTCCTGATGAGACTCTCTGTAAACTACAGTCTGTTCAAGAACAGGATGAAGTCAGTGTGTGTGCTGCACATGAAGGAGCAATTGAAGATATGGAGATTGATATAGGTACAGAGGAGGGTGAGGAATCCCCTCCTCCTCCTCCTCCCAGGAGTTCATCATCAACCAGTAGCAGTTTTCAAGAGTTTAAATTTACAGCTGCTTCTCTCCCTCCACCTAAATCAGGTATTCTTGTCCAGTCCAGCCGTGAAGGCTTTGGTGAACTCCAACCCAAAAAATCAGTCACTTTTGCTGATGGTTTTCGGCCAGGAAAAGACCCTGTGGATGGACAGGAATCTCCTCCACCTCCACCACCTCCTAAGGACCGTAAAGTGAAAGTCAGACTAAAATACTTATCACGTCACAACAGTGTTCATGGTGATGATTCTCCACCACCACCACCACCTCCTGGTTCTCCACCTCCACCACCACCACCACCAAAAAACTCCATGGTTACTATGGCTGCTGCTCCTGTTGTTTTTGATCATTATCAACAATTTTCCCGAGCTAGTCCACTTCCTGGCCAACCACAGATAGTTACATTACCATTTGGAACAAATTCAGCCACCATTCCCAATGTTGCAGGCTATACCGTGCCTTATGGCTACCCATCAGGTTATCATGCTGCTTACACATCTGCTGGATTACCTCCAGGATATAGTTATACCACCTCCTCACCCCAACACTTATATATTAACATGTCAAACCCATACCACTATCCATCTAATAATCAAGAAACTGTACCCCCTCCACCACCACCTCCAAAGTGAAGCTGTGTTCTCTTCCATTGGTAAGATTGTCTTTATAATACTTTTAACTGTAATATTAACTTTAAAATAACATGTAAGTGACTAAATGAGAACTCTCTCCATTGCAAATACTTTGTCAACAGTGCAATGTGAAACCAGTAGTGTACTAAATATGTTTTATATTGAAGAAAAGACATTCTTTTTTTTAAGTTATTTTTCAAAGGCTGAAAATATTTGTTGTATCAAGATCTATCCATCTGTTGTGTGTGTGTGTGTGTTTTTATCTACAATTCAAAGTATACTTACTTTCTGTATTTACAATATAGTGTAATGCATTAAATTTATAATTATGAAAAAAATATGTTTTTCTATCTTTAACTTAATAATTTTTATATTGTTGGGCATTAACATGAATAAATGAGTATGTTTCTGCTTCATTAAATTTCAACAGAAATTTAACCAAATTGCTTAGAATAATCAAGAAAGTATTTGGAAGAATAAAGATTATAAGAAGTTCAGTTTTCTGTGTAAAATGATTCAAAAAGAAAGTGTTTCATTGTTTGAATAATATCTTTCTCAAATAAGTAATTTCTTTCACCATTATGTTAATAAAAGTTTACAACTTAACAGTTAGAAAGTACATTGTTCTAGTGAAATGGTATTTTATGTGATAAACTGAAAAATTGGTTATTTGAGTTATATAACATCATTATTTAAAGTAGATCTTTTCAATAAAACATTAAATGTTACACAGTGTTTAAGTTTTTGATGAATATCTTTTTTGTTATGTAATCACATTCTTTTGCTGATTGAAATGATTGAATTCGATAATGGAATTTTATGTTGTGTGTTTTCATATCAGTAATGTAAACCTGAAACCTGTTTTTAAATATTTGAATGATGGGGAAATCTGTAAAGCATATTTCTTGTGCATCATTGATATTCACATTTCAAAAATTAATTAGAAAATTTATCTCATGAAAATGAACATCTTCAGATTTTGCTCTTTGATAAATCACAACTAAATAGTTTTTTATGTAATACAAAATGTGTGTCTTGTTTATTAAGTACATATATACCCTCATTGTTATGCAGGTTACAAGAAACACAGAAGAAACGTAGAGTGGCCAATTTCATGATTTTACAAGTTTGAAGCTTGAATAAGTTGTTTTACTGGCATGCATGGAAAGACTTCTATGTGAATAATATGTTTCTAGTACTTGTAATTTCTAGCTACTGGACACTATAATTTTTCCTTAATGAGTATAATCATTTTATCTATAAGGAGTGTAATTATAATGTGTATAGTTAGTTACTTTCATGACAGTAAACAAATTTTAAATGTCAGTAACCCTAGTTTATGTGTAAAGAAGAAACTAGAAAATACATTTAATTACCATGTATTTGAAATGCCCCTTTCTTCGTTCACTGTACAAAGCTGTTGATTTTCTTCCTGGTTTTTAAACAAAAGTTAAGTTATTGTTGTGAAATATAATTTCCTGGTATATGAAGCGTGAAACATGCCCAATTTAACAAGCTATGACATAGGTACCTTGAAGTGGAGAAGTAGCATTTGTCTGTAATAATTTAAGTTCAGAATTTTTTAATTGAGAACTTGATATCATATGGTGTGGAAAAAATTGTTTATGATTTATTTTAATGTTTCAACACATTATATGTCTTTTTTCTTTAATTTTTTTTGGATTTTAAAATATCCACAAATGTATTTGCTTTGCTTAAATATAATAAACAGATTTCACTTTGTATAAGTGTTTACATGTTAAGATTTTTTAGAATATTTTGCTAAACTGAAATAGTTATAAGTTAGTTAAAACTTTATTTTTCTCTTTTGCTTATATGCTTTGTACTAGTAGTTTTCAGTATGTGTAGAATTTTGGCTATAGTTTTAACTAATGAGTTAAGTGTGATGCTTACTCAAAACATAATATGAAAAATGAAAAATTTCCACAGTCAGAAATTTTAGAAATTTAAATATAATTTATGACTTAAATATGTTTTGTTCTCTGTATTATTATTATTATATAATATTTGCAACTGCTGCTTCAAAGCATATAAATTTGCTAGTGGTTGATAAAGCAAGTGACAAACTAATGAATATTTTATGGGCTTAGTTAGTAGATTTTTCATAGGTGAGGCTTGAAAAACCAGTAACATCATATAGCTATGAAATTGGGAGTAATACTAAGTGTAAACATTAATTTCAGTTTTATTTTCTAAGCATTGGTAGAATTGCTTTTGACTTCTGATTAGTTTTTACCCAGATATACAACTTTCTTGTAACACATGAACAAGGAATGGTGCATTTGAGCTACATGTGATTTACTAACTTGTTGGTAACTTTACGTGCTCTAGAAATAACTCCCCACCATTATATTTTATTGAAAATATTTTCTTTATGTATAACAGTGAGCACTGAACTTCAAGTTGGAATCATTTTGTTAAATCAGCAAACAGCAGTGGTCACTGTGCACTGCAGAAAATTGCCTAAGATTACTGAAAACATTGATGAGAGTAAGAAAAAAAAGCTTAAAAGGAATTTTGCTTATTTTTCTTCCTATTTGTACCTAATCCTTTTATTCAAATTTAGCCTGAATGGTTGCATTCCACAAACAGAATGTTTGTAGTTAATGCAAATGTTTTGTAGCTTATTGAAATAATTTTTATTAATCAGTATAGTGAAACCCCATTGTATCATCATATTCACCAGTTTGTGGTACACTTTTATAAATGTTGCAAAACCCAGCAAGTTTGGTATAGTGTAAGTCAGTTCCAGCACACATGTCTCTGAGTCTTTCATTCCCTTTGGATAACAGCTAATAAATGCATGAAGCCTTTAACACAGTGGTAGAATAAGTGAATATTACTATGTTAAATATCACAGCAGAACTGTTATGATTCATACAGTGGCAGATTAAAAAAAGTATTTTTTTTAGTTATTTCAACAAATATATGCTGGCTTAGATATACATTTCTTGCTAAACTACTTAAAGAAATACAATTGTTTTTGTTCTTGTTCCTGCAAAGTGAGTAGTGACTGCTAGAAAATCTTATCCTGCAAATTGGTAATGGAATTTTTGGGTGTATTTAGAATGTGACATTATACACTTGGAAGTATGATGAAAATTGTGTTATGCCTGTCTGTATAGTTAATACTATGATTCAGTTGCAATAAAGTATTTGTTCACAAAATTTGCTTTTGGTTATTTATTTTTAAATATTTTGTTGAGTTTCACTTTAGTTGTTTTTTTTCTGTCATTATTTATTCTAAATGCTAATTTTCAAGTATTCTGATTATACTATGCAGTGGCTTTTTCTGTGTTTTTGGGTTGATAAAATAGTATTTTATGTATTATGTGAAACTGTGAATTAAAGGTAATGCTTACTGGAAATGAAAATTCACATGAAAATTTAAGAATTGCAACAGTCAGAAATATTTGAAAACTGGAAGCTTGGAAGAGTTTCTTAGACATATTTGTTCTTATACTTGGTAGTGCTTAATAATTACTATATGTGAAAATGTATATTGAAGGATTAATAAACAGATTCCACCTGTTTGTATTTCACATTCCCAACTCTTTACATATTCATCACAAAAATCAGAACTATACATAAAGCATTTAATTTAATATGGCATCCTGAGAAATGTCACCTCTGAATGTTTTACTATTGAATTTTCTCTAAGAAATGTTGCTGTTCATTATACTATAGAAGCCTGTTTTTTTTTAACAGTAATAAGCAAATATATTTTTTATGTGTTATACATAACATCTCTCAGTGACTATAAAAACAGTGATTATTAATAAGTTAGCATGGTTCTTTCTACAAATATTGTAATCGGTCAGCTGCTTCATAAGATAATACATTATTTGCTGCTTAATTTTATCTGCTGATAATTAAAAAAAATTCACTTTGAATTTCCAGAGGCTAACAATGCTCATAGTTTGTTTTATTATTGCCCATGTACAGGGCTGTGAAAAGCACAGTTTTTTTAATAGTTTGATAGGTTTTTCATTTTCTATTCATACACAAAAGTGTGCAAATATGTTATCTTATTCTGGAACACTTGGTTAGTTGAGCTTTCTATTAGAAGAGGGTGGTATTTGTGAATGACTGCTTACTACTATTCTTCATTTTTGCAAAAGCTTTTGAGTAACAGGGAAGGGTATGCGCATGTAGCAAAAGGAAATTATTGTGGGAGGGAAGAGTCTGGCCTGGTTAATCAACTGGAAACTTCTGTAAGCTAGGAGAGGCGTTAAGATAAAAAGCAAGTGTCTTTAAACCAACCATGTGAATTAATGCAAAATATCTAGAAGGTTGGCTAGGCATCAAGATTAGTATATGAAAGTAAATCTTGTGCACCATGTCATTAGGTAGAGGAGATCAGAGCTAAACCCACACAAATCGCTGTACTTTGATGCTAGTTTTCATCTGCTGTATTAAATGGTGCTTAGTAAGAATTTGAAGTCAATATTGTAATCATGTCTTAGTAATTTTGCGATTAGTTGAATGTTAAATGTGTGACTATGAAGTTAAGTACTTTTGGAACATATGAAGGAACAAGTTTTTTTGCCCCACCAGTGGCACAGCGGTAGGTCTGGGGACTTACAACGCTAGAATCCGGGTTTCGATACCCGTTGTGGGCAGAGCACAGATAGCCCATTGTGTAGCTTTGTGCTTAATTACAAATAAACAATTTTTTTTGCTGTCAAAATGCATATAAATCAGATGTCAAAATTTTGTAAAATTTTTGTCAGATTGGCAAAAAAAAAAAACTGAAAATTTGTCTGATTTGAAAAGTTTATGAACTGAGTGTCACGGTCAAGAACGCTAAAGACGAACAAGTTCTTGCCCAGAACTTGGATATTCGCAGTGCACGTGTTTCCTAGGCTACGTGCCATCATATACAAGTTGTGAACAAGACTTGCCCAATAGACACCGTAGTACATTCTAGCACTTTGGGTCCCACAGAAACCAATGGTTAACATAAAAATTGAGCTAGTTTTCAACACTGTGGGCCGCGCCAATCCATGAAATATGTGACAACCCTGCACCACCGAATGTCAAATGTCATTAGTTAGCCTGTATGTACACTGTACATAGGTAGCTATGCATTACAAACTGTACATATTTCTCCACGTGATTGCTCTACATTCGTTGACTGTATATTTACATTGTAGTGTTCATATTTTATGTATCGTCAATTCAAATCAAGTAAAATGGCGGTTACAGGAGCTGGTATGACTTCGAGAGTTATATAGTATGGGTTTAGCGACTACGAGTGTTCTACATCGAAAGGATCTGCTTATTGCAAAACCTGCAAAAGTAAAGTCAGTAATGAGCCAAATACTACTTCAAATTTTGTGCGGCACTTGAAAATCCACGCTGAGACGTGAGTAGTTTCTCCCGTTATCTATACATCGTGTATTGTAAAAGTTTGTTTCTTTGTAATTTAAGCACAAAGTTACACAATGGGCAATCTGCACTCTGCCCACCACAATTATCGAAACCCGATTTGTAGCGTTATAAGTTCGCAGACATGCCGCTGTGCCATTGGGAGGCGTATTGAAGAAGACAATCTATGCCTAGCCTAGGCTTATATTACAGTGTAAATGCAATTTGCACAGTTTGAGTATCAAGGTATCATGTAATGTCATACTATTTTCATTGCAATACCAACATATACTTTAATTATAATGTAAATTGCACATTGAACAGGCCTCAATTCTGCCCCCCCCCCCCTCAAAAAGTAAATAAGAAACTTTACAATTCCAATAAAGAGTCAGATTTGGAAAAAAGAGAACTGAGCTAGCATGTAAGTTAATAGAAAATAAAATGAAAATAACATTATTGAATTGTGATTTTTGCCATTTAAAAAAAAGATGTAACAATATCACCACTTTCATATTGTTACGTCTCTGCTTGTTTGTTAATTTCCGGTAGACATTATTTCCGAGAAACTTAAGCGATACAAGTCCTTTCTTGATTAAAACTAGTTCATTCTTTCTCGATACAAACTTTGTAATACACTTAACAACTTTTATAACACACGCTATAAATCACAGTAATTCACACATTTTACTTACGGTGCCCGTTGTTCGCTTGACTCAATTATCTATCTCTTCAGTCTGGTTGGTTTTTCGCGCCAGGCTTGTATATTAAAAAAAAGGGCGTCTCGAATGGACTAGGGTCTTCATGATCCTTCGAGAAACTCCAGCGTGCATCCTCCCAGCGTTGCATGACTTCTGCTGTCGTAACGCTGCCCCTTCCTTAGTATTGTTCGTCCCAAACAATAGCCACTTACATTTAGCCAATAGATAATTAACAATAACTTGTATAAATGTACAGAATTTACAAACACAACAATAAAATACAACAAAGTCTCTTGATTTTACAGGACGTTTCTTCTTTCATATTGGTATCCATCTCATTGGCTTCTCCTTCACGTGGGATTCATCTGCTCCATCAGGAAATGTCCCGTTATCGGTAGCAGCCACATTA